CCGCCGCGCGCAGCAGCGCTCACCGCAGCGCGCGACGCACATCCACTTGAGGACCCGAGCGAGACGGGTGGTCGAGAGGTGCCAGCGAGTACTTCAAGTGGACAGCATCGCGACACTACGAGCGCGCACACTGCGGCGGCCGCACGAAGCAGCATCATCGTCGTAGCCTTGGTAGCTTTGAGCGGCGTCTCCGCGTGCGGCCCGCCGCCGCGCGCAGCAGCGTCCACCGCAGCGCGCGACGCACATCCACTTGAGGACCCGAGCGAGACGGGTGGTCGAGAGGTGCCAGCGAGTACCTCGAGTGGACAGCATCGCGCCGCTGCGAGTGCGCACACTGCTTAGGCCGCATGAAGCAGCATCGTCGTCGTAGCTTTGGTAGCCTTGAGCGGCGTCTCCGCTTGCTGCTCGCCACCGCGCGAAACAGCGCCCGTCACAGCACGTGACAGAAGCAATAGCACGGTGGCGAAGAGCAACATCATGGTGGCGAGCCAGGCAGCGCCCCCCTCGGGGGGCGCAGGTGCAGCTTCACGCTCGCGCAGCTCCAAATAACAGACAGGAGACATTAGCATCATCCGGTAGTTAAGCACCCACAGACGATTAAGAATGAAGTCAGTCATCGTCGTTTTCATGCTTATTAAAAAAAAAAAAAAAAAGTTACGCTTTGACGATGGAAGAAAGAGACAAGCCCGAGGAGGGAGGCCGCCTGTCGCTCTTCTACACCTGTCAGGGGACGGACATATTTCTATATATTTCACACAATCGGTGCCAAGCAGATCGGGTACCTGCCGTTCACGGAGGCAAAGGCGAGCGAGCGCGTCCACTGCCCCATCTGCCTCGATGCTCACCGCGCTGGCTTGCACGACTGGCAAATGGTGTGCGAGGAGCGCAAAGACAACATGATTGCAAAGGATGGGCACATCTACCGGGTGCACCCTGCCGCCGTTACCGCTGCGCGCGCCGCCGCCTCTACCGCTGCTGCCACTGCGCGTGCCGCCGCCGCGCCCGCCGCTGTGGCCGACCTCGATTTCGAGCTTTCATATGACGTCGAGGAGATCGTCTCGTACCGCCACAACAAGAAGAATCGGCGCGACGAATGGCGGGTCAAGTGGCAGAACTACCCTGCGAGCAAGAACACGTGGGAGCCGATAGAGAACCTGTCGGATGACCTCATAGCAGTCGCGCAATCGCTTAAGGCCCGCGCAGCTCGCGGGCCCCCAACCATCATCGACGAATCGGGATGAGGGGATGATGCAAAATAATATATATAAATTATAGTAATAGTTAAATGAAATTAGCAAATATAAATTTTCGCGATTGGGGCTGCGGAGGCGGCGGCCCACGGCCGCCCTGGGGGGTGCGCGCCCCCACCTACACTGAGCGGCCTCCGGCCGGCGGGGGCTACAGGGGATCGCGGGCAATAAGAAACCGTCGTGTTAAGAAAGTGAGCCTCGTTTTTAGCTCTTCAATAGTAATTTTAAGCGAAATTTAACCATTGTTTGTATGCAATTTGCTAAGAAACTCAGCCTCAGCCTCAAAATCCGCCGTTCTTATTGCCCGCGATCCCCTGTACGCCCCCGCCTTACGTTCACACTGGGGGGCGGGCTGCGCCCCCCTCCTCCCCTCACTGAGGGGGGGAGGGGGGGGGGGCTGCGTCCTCTCCACACTGGGGAGTTGGCTGCGCCAAACCCCACACTGGGGCCGGCGCCAGTCGGCACCAAAAGGAAGATATTCCAGCCCGGCCAAGCAGCGGCCGTGGCACTGGCAATGCCTCCCGTCCGTCGCCCGTCCCTCTTCGAAAAGAGGGAAATTCAGCGGGGGGGAACGGTATCCGTGTCGATACAGCAGATCCGTGTCGATACAGCAGTCTAGGATACGCGGCGATTGAGTGCCAAGCGCTGGATCTGAGTATGCTGCAGGTGGCTCAAAGTTAGCAGGCTTGTTTAAGATGTGTATATATATATAGCGGCTCAGCACATGTTTCAACAGGTGTTGTTCACTCATCGACTTGGTCGACGTCAGACGTTAGTCCTGGCCGCAGGAATGAGGCTTGTTTAAGGACGTCCAGCCGGTCTGCGTCGATGAAAGACACCTCCCGGCGAGCGTCTGCGCCTTGCACAGTGTGTCACATATGCCCAGTCTCGTCTTTTTTGGAGCCAAAACGGCTCAGTCTCAGGCAACTGAAGGTACCGGCTGGCAGGTTATTTGGAAGGTATTCCTGCCCGGCTCAAAGCTAGCAGGCTTGTTTAAGAACGTCCAGCCGATCTGCGTCGATGAAAGACACCTCTCGGCGAGAGTCTGCGCCCGCATCCTTGAGCAGGTAGAGGGCGAGCATGCACTCCGCTCGGCAGAGCATGACGTAGGGGTTTGAGTCGCTACCCACGCCGAGCTCGCCCTCGAACCAGGGCTCGGAGGTAGCTAGCTGTTGCAGAGCCTCGAAGTACGACTCGCGTCTCTCGAGAGTCCCTGCTACCCACGAGCGGAGAAGGCGCTGCTCGTCCGGATCCTCGGCGCGTCTTGTGAGCTCCTCGTCGGCGATGCGGAGCAGGTCGGCACCGGGCGGGAGCTTGAGAGCCCTGGCCAGAGCGTTGATGGCCGCCGGCTCAATGGGGGCCCGTTTGCCTGCACGGAACGGGTCCTCGGCAATCAACGCCTCACAGCGCGCGTGCGACCGGGGGCGAGGGGCGTGCGGCGCCAGCGGCCGCCAGCGGAGAGCAGCTTGGGACCGGGGGCCAAGTGATCCGTCAGCGAGCGACGCCACGAGCAGTAGGCCGAGCCCGCGGCGGAGCAATACCGACTGCACGACGCTCCTGCTCGGCGTGGGCAACATCACTCGTGAGACGCAGCCGAGCCGCTTGGCTGGGGACGACCCTGGAGCGTGCAGTAGTGATCGAACCCTGAAGCGCGAGGGCTGCGGCGCGTAAGCCCCCACACGCTTCGCCCAACGGACCCCGGCCTACGAGCGGACTGCGCGCAAGCCTCGCGCTGCGTCCGTTGAATACATGATCCTAGGCTTCAAATAGTCAAAATTTTGCTGAAACCCTTGTCGCCCGCTTAGCTCAGCCGGTAGAGCGTCGAGCCTTTAACTCGACGGTCGCGAGTTCGAGCCTCGCAGTGGGTGTTTTCATCTTTTGCCGCGCCCCCTCCTTTTTGAGGTCCCTCTTATTGCCTGTACATTTTTTAAACAAAATTGTTGCCTGGTCTTATTCGTTTACGGGATACCATATATGCTATGCCGTCGTGCGTCCAATTATAATTATGAAAAACCTTCTCAGAATGTAAGGATGCCGCTGTCCATGCCCCACGTCCCGAGAGACGCGCTGGACCTCGCCGATGGGCTGGTTTCCGTCGCGGGGTGCCCTTCGCCGAGCTTAGACCCGGGCAACTCAAAGGTAGTTCTTTCAAAGGCCACTTGAAAAAACTTTAAAAATTGCGCGCACGATGGAGACCCATGGCTCTTGCAAAAGCTCGCATGGAGCCGCGGGCGCGGCCGCGACTGACGCGGAGCTCGCCGCTGGGGCGCTGGCCACGGCACGGACTCGACGCGAGGCACGCGATCATCGCGAGGCCGCGCGCGGTGCTGCTCACTGAGGCGCGCTGGGAGGGGCAGCGCTTTCCCGCCGCGGAGGTCGACCGCCATGCACCGAGCACGGGCGCCCCCAATCGGGAGTTGCGCGTGCGCAACGGCGCGCAGCAGCTCTTCGCCGTTGTGCGTCACGAGAATAAGGCGATAGACACTCACGCACATCTCACCGAGGCCTCCATTCGCCAGGAAGCAGACGCGGTTGAGCAGCTTCTCGCATCGGCAAAGTGGCCCACGGAACGTTGGTTGCCGTTGAGAACGGCGAGCCTCAAAACGCGTTCCAGAACGTTTAGAACGGAGCAAGTAGCCGTTCCGGGTCACTCTGCACATTGGGAGCCCAGATGGCCGAGCTCGACCGCTGAGGGCGACACGCTGCGCTCGCGGTCGTATTCGTGCCGAGGAGGGCGCGGAGGGGCCGTCGGGCAGTGGCTGTGCGGGGAGGACCAGAGGATCAGCGAGATGCTACGTGGCAGTGAACAGCCGACTGCGCAGGGCCACTTCGGGCCAGCAAGGATGTGAACTGCACCACGTTGGCCAGCAGAGAAGCTTCGAGGAACGCTGGATCAGTCGATAGCGTGCGCGATCTCCATGATGTAATCCCACCCCAATCTCTCGCCGCGGCGAGGACCACTTCGGGGCAAAGGAGGCCGATGTGGCTCACGCGCCATCGACAAACCTACTCAGAACGTCACCGGCCGGGGTGACGTGCCGCGCTTGCCGCCTTCGCAGTGCGCCTGGCAGGCCTACGATGCCGACTCCGTGTGACGCCGCCCGCAGAGGTGCACTGCTGGGCGCTGCGCGGGTGGCGGCGGGGCCGTCGGGGTGGCAGCCCGGGAAAATCCATCCGCGCGTGCACACACACACGCTTACACGCTTACACGCCCATACGCCCACACCACCAACAACCACCCACACACACCCGCCCACAATCCATCCGCGCACCGGCCCCGCTCGCCGCCGGCACCGATTGCCGGGCCCGCCCGTCGTGGTTGGTTGGTGGTGGGCTGTCAATTGGCGCCTAGCGGCAGGCGCGCGCGTGGGTGGCGACGGGTAGCCGCGCGGCCCCGCGCGCAGCAACGGCCGCTCCGGGTGACAACCACTAACCCCCGCACAATTAAAAAAAAAAAATCACGGGTGATCGGAGCCACCGGCACGTGCGACAAGCTGCTCGTCTGCTCCCCGCTGTCATCAAGTGGGGCTAGCTGCTGCAGCTCTGCCTTCTCCAGCGCTGTCGCATCCGCTCGCCACCGTGTGCCCTGTTGGCCTTCCGCAGAATGCCACTCGCAGACTGTAAGCCCTCTGATAAGTCTCTCTTCCACTCGAACGCATTGGCAGGGCAGCGAAAGGTAGTAGCCCCCCTCCCCCCCCACACGCACACACGCTTAATGCTTACACGTCCACACGCCCACACCACCAA